CTAAATATGGAAGTGAAATAAAAAATAAGAAATAAATTTTATATTAATATAAAATTTCATGATATTGTCATCTACTATTAATCTTTGTCCCTACTTACGTTGAAATCCCTCACCTTCTAAATCCAACACTTGAGTCCTTTTGCTTTATCACATATCTGACGAATTTTTCTTTTAGTAGGTTGATGAAGAGCCTTCTCATTGACCTTGTTTGTTAGAGTATTTATTGTAAAAGTTAAAAATATAACTCATTAAACAATCTAATCATCTTAGATTCATTAATTGCCTTGAATTTAATAATAAGATATTACACGTAATAAATTTTTTCTTAAGCACGTGAAAATGACAAATAGTTACACTCTGAAAATTTTCCATTAATTTGTTTCCATATGATCAACAATTAATTGTATATCAATATTATTGAAGAAAAACAATAAATATATTTTCGTATGTTCATTAATTATTTTCGTATGTTATTAAAAGTAATGATTGTTTAATCAACGGTAATGATTGTTTAATCAACGGTTAATTATTCTTTATTTAGCAAATAGATCAAAAAATAATTAATGAACATGCGAAAATATATTTATTGTTTTTCTTCAATAAATAATAGCTAACGATCTAAGTAACTCAGTGATTATCTTCTTTTGTTGAAATTAAGAGATCCTGACTTCAAATCGTATGGCATACGAGTGGGGTGGGATAAGAAATGAGAGATAATTTGCTTTTCATTGTGCAATCAAGATCAAAAAATTATTTTTAATAACAACATACCATTTGTCATGACAACAACAGTGAGTTCAATACTCCTTTTTGTACAATGCTCCCTTTCATCACATCAATTTTGTCTCTACTTCTATTATACATGTCGCACAAAAGGGGCATATATTCTCTACAATGCTCCCTTTCATCGCATCAATTTTGCCTCTACTTCTATTATACATGTCGCACAAAAGGGGCATATATTCTCTACAAATTGAAGTTCTTTAACTTCTATTTTAAAAACAATTATTTTCTTTTATTTCTAATGACGATAATACAACTTTCCTATTGAGCATAAATACAGATTGCCAGCCATATATTGAGTATATGAGGACTTGACTGGACATGGACAACTAAAACAAGAATGATATTTTATATTTTGAAGGGTTTCTAGACTAAATTAAAAATATATTGAGAGTAGAGGGACTTATATTTTTGTATACCGCTAGGTTCATCATGTGAAAAGCAAGCCCCTATAGTTCTTCTCTTCTATTATATATAGAGAAGCCCCCTTTCTCTTCTCCTCCATTCAATCTTTTAATTATAAGTATGGTTATTGTAGATTTAGAATTCATTTTTATGGAAGAGCAAAAAATTTCTCTCCCAAATTAAACCTTTGTTAGATCAGTAATCTACCAAAAAAAAGGTAATTTCTTTATAATTTCTCTTTGATTTTTACTCTTCCAGTTTCATATATATTTTTCCATGGAATCAGATCTAATATACATATATGTGTTTTTTTTTTTAATTTGTAAATTGTTATAATTCCCTTGATTATCTTCTCTGATGTGTGTTCTAAGATCCCTAGTTTTATCTATTGTTTCATAAATTTCTTGTATACATATATACATTTTATGGAGGCATGCTCAATGAAGAGAATTTTACAATATTACAATTAACTTGTGTTTTTCAGGCCAATTCTAAGCAGGGAAGCCAGGAATAACACATGCTTTAACTCTAGTTAACATGTGGAGGGAAAATATTTGTCAGCCAAATCACTAGGTGAAGGAGCTGATGTGATAATTGAAGAACTTTGATGCTTCCAAAGACAGTAAATTAAAGATCTAAGCTGCCAAGATCAACAGTCGAATTTGAAGTTTTGTGAATTGCCCAAAGTGTTCCTAAAATATTGGGCTTGAAACTTATAAGACGACACTTATTTACCAGTAAATCTGAGTAAGTAGGATTAGCATATAATTGTATCAATTTGAAATTTGCTTTGTACTTCAAATGAGTGAAATTTATGTTACTTCTAAGATCTCTATAGATCCCTTTATATATTGTAGGCAATGCAAATTAATTTTTTATTTTTGATGAACCAAATAAAATTATAAGAGAGTATAAGAACTACTCCAATAATGTATGTGAATCGGTATATATCACGTTTGGGTTATGACTACTTTTTTTATTTATTAATTCAATACATTTTCGTACCTCTTGTTGCTGCTTTTATATATATAAAAGATGATAGATTATATAATAAACGATAGCTCACTTTGTCTTTATCCCTCTTCACTGGCCAAAGTTGCAAATCAGCTCCCAATATTTTTGAGTTGAAGCAAATTAGTACCTAAAAAAATGTTGAAGCAAATTCCCTTCTCAAAATTTCATTTTAAAGAAGTTGGTCCAAATTGAATGGTTGTTGTTCAACTCCATTAAACATTACTATTGAAATCTAACAGAAAGTTAATGGCAACCATTAAATTTGGGTTAATTTCTTTTAATTGAAATTTTGAAGAGACAATTTGCTTCAACCTTTCTTTTTTTGTGTTAATTTATTTTAACTTGAAAATTTTAGGGTGCAATTTGCACCTTCTACCCTCTCTTCCCACCTCAAATTCTTAATTATTTGAGACATCTCATTGGAGTGTTGCAACCCCATAAAAATGAGTAAGTCATGAATATAAATTAATTTTTTTATCCACAACAAGTGTACTTTATTTATTGAAATTACAAGGATATTCAAATCCATTTGAGAAACTTTGAGAGGAAAGTTTCTGTATTTGATTCTTTTTTTGTTTGAGAAATTGATGAAATCATAGTTTTCATCCATCTCTTATATACTTCTTAAGAAAATGAAAGGAGATTTTCTAAAGGCAAACAAGCCTTTAGTGGATGAATGAACCGAGCTTCCAGTAGTCCTCTCTATTTATAATTAAGAGAACTGCCTTAGGGTACAACTATGGGCGGCGACGCCGCTGGTTTTTCCAAACAAGGGGCAGTTTTTGGTGTTTTGCTGAAGGCAGTATTTTTCATGTTTTTCTTTTAGTTTTAGAGTTTTTTTTTCATCAATTATTTTTAATTTTAATCAACAATCTGTTAGTTTGTATAGAATGAAACTAAATTCAACTTAAATAAAATTTTGAATTTAGGTGTTTGGAATAGAAATTCAGGTGTTAGAAGCACTTTTTCCTTATGGATTCAATCTAATTTGATTTTAGTTTACTTAAGATTCATTATGACTTTTGCATAATGAAAGTTTAATAAAAAAATTATTTTTATTTTTAGAGAGGACAAACAAAATAAAAGATAGGGATTGGGAAAGATATGGAAAGTAACAACAATTTCATTAGCTGGAATATTGCCTTTTCTAAAAAGTTTCTTTAGCTAAATATGGAAGTGAAATAAAAAAATAAGAAATTAAGTTCAAATTAATACATATGCCGTGGGTGTTGTCACCTAGTATTGATATTTGTCCCTACTTATGTTTAAGTCCATCACCCTCAAAATCCTACACTTGAGTCCTTTAACTTCATCACATATCTGATGAATTTTTCTTTAAGTTGGTTGATGAAGAGCCTCCTTAGTTGATCTTGTTCGCTAGAGTATTTATTCTAAAAATTAAATATAACTTGTTAAACAATCTAATCATCTTAAATTCATTAATTACCTTGAATTTATTAGTAGATATGACACATAATAGAGTTTTATTTAAATGAGTGAAAATGACATATAACAATGCACTTTGAAAATTTTCCGTTAATTTGTTTCCATATGTTCAACAATTAATAGCATATCAATGTTATTGAAGAACAACAAAAAATATACTTCTGCATATTCATTAATTAATTGTTGATTTATTCTAAAAAAAGGTACAATTAACTGTTGATTAGACAATCATTTTTTTAATAACAACTTACCATTTATCATGGCAACAACATTGAGTTCAATACTCCTTTTCTACAGTGCTTCCTTTCATCATGTTAATTTTGTCTCTACTTCCATTATATATGTCGTACAAAATAAAATATATTCTTTACAAATTGAAGTTCTTTAATTTCTATTATCAAAATAGTTATTATCTTTAATTTCTAATGACAATACTACCTTTTCCCTTTTAGGTATATATATAGATTGCCTGCCATATATGGAGTATTAGAGGACTTGACTGGACTTGGACAACTAATATAAGAATGATATTGCATATTTTGAAGGGTTTATAGACTAAATTGAAACTATATCAAGAGTAGAGGGACTTGTGCTCCAGTAATCACTGTCTACTCTTTACTATAAACTGCTAGGTTCATCACGTGAAAAAGCCAGCCTCTAGTTCATCTCTTCCACTATATATAGAGAAGCTCCAATTCTTTTCCCCTTCATTCAATCTCTTGATTATAAGTATGATTATTTTAGATTTAGGGTTCATTTTTATGGAGAAGCAAAAAAATTTTCTCCTAAATTAAACCTTTGTCAGATCAGTAATCTTCTAAAAAAATGGTAATCTCTCTACAATTTCTCTTTGATTGTTGGCCCTCCACATTCCTTTTTTTTTTTTATCAAATCAGATTTAAAATATCTGTGTGTGTTTTAATTTGTAAATTGTAATTGTTCTCTTTATTATCTCTTTTGATATGTGTTTCGAGATCTCTAGTTTTATCTTATTTGATATATTTGTTTTATACTTTTATACATTTTTTTTTTTTGGCATGCCCAGTGCAGAGAATTTTAAAATATCACAATTAACTTGTGATTTTCAGGCAAGTTAGAAGTAGGGAAGAAAGGAATAACACATGTTTGAAGTCTAGGTAAACATGTGGAGAGATAATATTCATCGTTCCAAATCACATGGGTGAAGGAGTTAATCTAATAATTGAAGAACTTTGATGCTTTCAGAGACATTAAAGATCTTAATTAGCTGCAAAGATCAACAGTCGATATTAAAGTTTTGCGAATGGTCCAAGAGTTCCTACATGTTTTTTGATTTGTTAAAGAGCCAAAAAGAGATCAATATCATGTTCTCCTTGTACAAGCGCGATTGTTTGCAGGCTAAATGCTAATTTTAGTCTTACAACTTTAAAATTTTGTACAATTTTTATTTATTTTTTATTTTTTTTATCCTTTAATTTTTAAAATTACATTATTTTAACTTTTCTATCAATTAAATAATTTCATAATGGTATTTTCTTTTACAACGCATTTGGAGTGCCGGTTATAGGGTCGAATAGGACAAAGTTTATGTCCAATCTCGATGTTTCCCATGTTTGGTGGAGTGAAAGTTAAATGTAAGATACAATCTATTCTACATTTTATTCAATACTTACCTCCTTTGATAAAATGTATCCCACCTTTCATGAGATTAGGTGGGATAAGATTGGATTTTAATGTTTTACCTGATGTCTCTCTCCCCATTTTTCACGTCGTCTATTATATTTTTTACTCTGACACGGTAGATCGGAGTTGCAATCGATGAGGCCCATTTATGACATCCACAGCAACTCCAACGTTTCATTGTTCATTTTTAATGGCCAATATCCGCCTGTTCAAGTCTCTAACTATTTTTCTCTCCATCTTCTGAGGAAATGGAATCTAGGAATTTGCCCAGTTTGTGCAGATGGAGGAGTTCGCGGCTATAGAAAACAAAGGCGAAATGATAGAGAAATAAAGAAAATGGAGGAAGATGGAGAGACAATAGTTGTGGTTATCATTTTTGTGTAGGAGGGGTGTTTGGGACTATGAAAAACGAAAAGGAAAATGTTAAAAACAGTGAGAAAATTGTAGGAAAATTTTGAAACAATTTAATACGATTTTCCTTTTTTTTAATACGAAAACTGAATTTAGCCAAAAAAAAAAAGAAGCAATTGAATAAATAAATAAATATATTCATAGTATTAAGGGTATTCTCGTCGACTTGATGAAAAATATTTTTAACGAATCCTAGTTTAATCCTATGATCAATTAAACTAAACTTTAAATTATAACATGTCTCATCATATTTAGTTCAATATAATTCTATACTTTAAATTATATTAAATCCAATTCAATCTTGGCCTCTAAAAGATCCTTAGATTTTTTTCTTTTTAAAGACATTACAATAAAATGTAAAATAATTTAGTAATTTGATTTTTGTACAAATAAAAATGATAAATCAGATTAATACTATTTTTACAGAATTAATAAATAAAAAGAAATAAAAACAGTAAAGTTACATTATTACCCCCCATGTTCTTCGCTCTCCTTCCTCCCCTTTGCTCCTGCTGAGGTTGAACCCAGCAAAATTTGGGTTCCATCAAACCTGACAGCTAGGTTCGACAACCCAGAGCTGCTGGGTTTGATCGAACCTACTTGCTGGGTTCCGTTGAACCCACTTGCAACGGGCGTGATTGATTTGAGTCGTCTCAGGCATTTAAGCTGCAAGTCAGGGAATTGCTCGGCATCTTTGAAGAGTTTTACTATCTAAGTTTTCTCAACTGGAGGCATTGGTGTTGGGATTCTTTCGATCCCACAAGAGTCATTGAGGGTGCACCATCCCTGGATCAAGCTTCGGAGGGTGTGGTTTGGAGTCGGATCTGAATCAGACAAAACCTGTTTCGTTACATGACATTTGTAGTTTCTTGCAAGAAACAACCATTTATCTATGCTGTCTCGATAATAGGTTATTCCGGGGGAAACTATCACCGGCGCTCTCATGATGTTGAAGCGAAATCGGACACAAAAAATGCGAAGGAATCTCTACCAGATCATCTATACTGAGAATGGATTTAACCCAGTAGGCAGTACAGTTACGTTGAACCCCAGTAAATTTTGGGTCTGTTGTACTTGCCCTATATTTTCAAAATTAGACCACTCCCCTAATATTTTCAATTGGGTGATGAGCTTTCTTTTCAAGGTTGCTGTAACTATAACTTTGATATGCGACCATGGTTTACTGTAACCATAATTTTGTTCATTTATTATGTTATTGACTTTTATGTTTTCAAGGCTCTGTTATCAACTTTTATATGGCTGATGCCTGTGGGGTTTTCTTCGTTCGACCCCTTAATGTAATTCTTTTTATTTGATACAATATATGTTTATTAATAAAAATAAAAATAAAAATAAAAAAAGAAAGAAAAGGAGCAAGAATGTTGCTACATGCTAGCAGTCCTCTCTGATGAATATACAAAGTTGACGAAGACTGATTAAATTGATTCAAGG